TGGAACAAAAGAAAGAATTCAAGAAAGATATAGAAATCTTCACCGTAGAAAAGCAAAATTCGAGTTCATTTCCTACGTGATAAAAGAAGCAATTTTTGTTTTTATCTTTTTTTTCTTAATTCTTAGTTTGAAACATAGATAAGACCATAAAAAGACCAATATTTAGAAAAAGGGACTGTGATAATCATCGTTTCATCATGAAATAAAAGATAATTTTTCAACAGTATTGTAAATGTTTTTTTTTTTAGCTCGAGCTCACCTGAGCCAAAGGCTCAAGTGAGCTTTTCTGATCACAATTTGTCCGTTGTCTGTCGTTGTCGTCGTTGTCGTCGTCGTTGTCATTGTTGTTGTAAACTTTTCACATTTTCATCTTCTTCTCAAGAACCACTGGGCCAATTTCTACCAAACTTGGTACAAAGTATCCTTGGGTAAAGGGGATTCAAGTTTGTTAAAATGAAGGGCCAGGCCCTTTTCCAAGGGGAGATAATTATGAATTAGAGAAAATTAATAGCATTTTTAAAAAATCTTCTACTCAAGAACCACTGGGCCAGGAAAGATGAAACTCATGTGGAATCATCCTCAGGTAGTGTAGATTCAAGTTTGTTCAAATCATGACCCCCGGGGATAGGGTGGGGCCAAAATGGCCAATCAAAATTTTACATAGGAATATATAGGAAAAAATCTTTAAAAATCTTCTTCTCAAGAACCACTGGGCCAGGAAAGATGAAACTCATGTGGGATCATCCTCAGGTAGTGTTGATTCAAGTTTGTTCAAATCATGACCCCCGGGTGTAGGGTGGGGCCAAAATGGCAGATCAAAAATTTACATAGGAATATATAGGAAAAATCTTTAAAAATCTTCTTCTCAAGTACCACTGGGCCAGGAAAGATGAAACTCATGTGGAATCATCCTCAGGTAGTGTAGATTCAAGTTTGTTCAAATCATGACCCCCGGGGGAAGGGTGGGACCAAAATGGCAGATCAAAGATTTACATAGGAATACATAGGAAAAATCTTTAAAAATCTTCTTCTCAAGTACCACTGGGCCAGGAAAGATTAAACTCATTTGGAATCATCCCCAGGTAGTGTAGATTCAAGTTTGTTCAAATCATGACCCTTGGGGGTAGGGTGAGGCCAAAATGGCGGATCAAAGTTTTACATAGGAACATATAGGGAAACCTTTTAAAATCTTCTTTTCAAGTACTTCAAAGCTAGGATTCGTTATATTTATAGGGAATCATCCTCAGGTAGTGTAGATTCAAGTTTGTTCAAATCATGACCCCCTGGGGGGTGAAAAATTCAAGCGCCCCCCCCCCCCCAGATTACTTTCAGTTCTGATCTGATCTGTGTTTTTTCCTAGCCAATTGCTCAGGTGAGCGATGTGGCCCCTGGGCCTCTTGTTTTTTGTGCGTACGATTTTATTAATTAGTGGATAATTATTTTTAAATAGGTCCGAGCAGATTTAATTTAGCGTTATCTGGATATGCAAGATATAAATATATAATACACTATTAGCGATGTACATTCTGATTGCACACACAAGTACTCTGAAGTTGACATGAAAAAGATACTCGAGTTTCTGATTGACAATATCTATGTGGTGTTTGGACACCAGGTATTCCAACAATCTATTGGAATTCCCATAGGTACCAATTGCGCTCCGTTATTAGCAGACCTATTCTAAATTTGTATGAAGCAGAATTTGTGCAAAATCTTATGGTAAAAGAAGAAAACACTTGCTGTGGCCTTCAACTCGACATTTATATATATCGACGACGTATTGTCAATTAACAATAGCAATTTCTATTCCTACGTCGATACGATTTATCCTGAAGAGCTTGAGATGAAAGATACCACAGAGCCTAACACATCTGTTTCATACTTGGATATTTTACTTAAAAAAGACGTTAATGGTAATCTAACAACCAAGCTGTATAATAAAAGTTATGACTTTAACTTTTCTATCGTCAACTTCCCTTTTTTATGTAGCAATATAGAATATACCTTCATCATCTACATACGGTGTGTATGTGTGTATATATCCCAGTTGATTCGATACGCAAAAACATGCTCTACGTATATGTAATTTCTAAAACGAGGTAAATTATTGAACATATCCAAGATCTGTTCCTTCTAATCGGGCGGCAGTTTCATCATTCTCTAGGATTTCCCTGTGTACATTGGTTCAGTTACTTTACAAATTACATATACACTGAATTGTCGTCGGATTTTCCCGTTATTTTCCGAACTTGACAAGGAGCGCACGGCGGGTGTGACCGGTCAGCAGGGAATGCTCACTCCTCTATGGAATATATCAAATTATGAAAAAAATTGCATTATACAAAAATTACAACATAAATTCCAGACTTTTTCCATCAAAATTTATTTTAGGAGAGGTGTACAAATCCATATATAGACAATTAAAGTATTGCACACATCATTTCATTTAGTGGAACTCTTCAACGCCAGGAAAGAGTCCAATATAAAGTTCAAACTACGTTGCGTATGACCTTTAGTTTGTTCAAAAGAAGGACCAAGCCCTCTTCCAAGGGGAGATCTATAGTCATGAATTAATGAAAAATTAATGAAATCATTTAAAAATCTTCTTCTCAAGAACCATTGGGCCAGAAAAGATGAAACTCATGTGGAAGCATCTTCAGGTGGTGTAGATTCAAGTTTGTTAAAAAAAATGACCCCCGGGGTATGACGGGGCCACAATGGTTGATTAAATTTTATTTACAAAGGAATTCATTGGGAAAATCTTTCAAATCTTCTTCTCAAGAACCACTGGGCCAGGAAAGATGAAACTCAAGTGGAAGCATCCTCAGGTTATGGCACGCCAAATTCACAAAAATGAGATAAACCTAGTTTCACATTTGATAAACTAGGTTTATCGACTGTAATTTATAGTTTACAAACCGTAAACTATAGTTAACGATTCGTTAAGTATAGTTTTCATCTGTAAAACTATATTTAAAGGTTGTTAACTATAGTTTACGAATGATAATCTAAGTTTATCTGTCTGTAATAAGCGTTAACAATAGATTTTGTTGATAAACATAGATTCACGTTTAGTTTACAATCGTAAACTATAGTTAAGAGTTGTTAATCATAGTTTCACAAATCGTGAAACTATATTTATCAGATCGTTAACTATAGTTAACGGTTTGTAAACTATAGTTTACAAATCGTGAAACTGTATTTATCAGATAATCTATGTTTTGCAATCGCAAATGATAGTTTTCGGTGTTAAGTATAGTTTACGGTTGTGAAACATAGATTATCGTGTTAACTATGGTTTACAAATGTGAAATATAGATTAACGTTGTTAACTATAGTTTACAGTTCGTAAACTATAGTTTACAACCGATAAACCTAGTTTATCGATTGTGAACCTATGATTAACTCATTTTTGTGAATTTAGCGTGCCATATCAGGTAGTGTAGATTCAAGTTTGTTCAAATCATAACCCCCGGGTGTAGGACGGAGCCACACTACCGGCCTGATCAAAGTTTCACATAGGAATGTAATAGGAATAGGAGAAATCTTTTTTTTAAATCTTCTTTTCAAGACCTTAGCTACTAGTAATCTCTAGAGAGGTACTTCTACGAAGGCAATGATTAGCCGATGCATTGCCAGCGTATTGGCCCAACAAAGACCCACTTTACACGGCAATGTTTATCCAAGAATGGCATTCATCGTTTGGTTCCACAGAATGAGCTTTGTTGGTCGAGCATCAGTCCATTGGTTTCTGACTTGATATGAACCTAAATCCTTGGATGCATTTCCCCATTGAAAACTCATTTATTTAGTATTATCACCGGAACATTCCGCTACAAATCAGAGAACGAATGTCTGGAAAATCCAATAAAAGGAATTTATTTTACAGGTTTTCTTATCAACCGAGCTTTTAAAAGAATACAATTAATACTTGAGCTTGGTATAATTAAAATTGACCATATTCACCAAATTGATACAGTCACCTTAAGAGTGAGCAAACTCACCGAAGAATTCAGATAAGGCCAACGAAATATATTAACTTTTTATGAAAATTGAATATTCACTCACAGGAGCATTTGATAGAACTCCAGGTGGAATTTATGGGTTATAATCAAGAAAACCAGTTCCTGAATTATTTTCAAAAGTGTGAATCTGCATGTCTAGTGTTAGTATCTTCATGTTTCAAACAATTAAACTAAAAAGAACAAAATCTGTAGGAATTCGGTGTTTTTTCAAATCAGATACTTATGTGATTCACAGTAGTTTATCAGTACATTCCGAGAAATTTTATATTAAAAAAAAATTCTAAAATATCAATGTATAATTATATTCATTAACTATTGTTCACTGCTTAAGATTTTTAGAATTTTTAAACCTTCGGTAATTATATATACTGGTATAAGAAGAAAAGAGTTAATCCATCTATTAATTTACTGATTGATACATTTTAAATAGATGGACTAAATTATGGACATTATAATTATCAATGCTCTCAAGCAAATCATTTTTGTTTTGCTCATGTTTTATTGTCTGTGGAGCTCAAAGTCATAAATGACTAGGTGATTATAGACCAGGTTTGTGTACATGTTTGTATACCTAAACTGTCATTTATTTATCGCCTTTACTTCTCGGGCTTTGTCCACCTGCTGCTGTTTATTCATTAGCGCTTCAGTTAAATATTGCTGAGCAGATAATTAAATGCCATCCCGGGTATATCGCTTCATTAATTATTTACCGTGAATAGAATATGATAAGGATGTGATGACAGAGCGATAATGAAACCTTTAAACATGAATGCTACATAGATCTCATTTGTTAATGTGAGTACAATTAAGTGGGATTTTAATCAAACCATGCGGCATTATTTATTACTAGAGGCGGACGTTAGAGCTTCATTATAAAATTTTGCTGCAAGAAATTATGTAACAAATCGCACGCTAGAATCTCCTTTTGCTATTTCTAAATGTCTCCGGCGCGTCCACAGTCCGAAACTATGAAGCGAACGTGATGTTTGATTGTAAAACACAACAGGTGTGACGTCACTATTTTAATGATCTATTACAGGAAGGATAGTCCAAGGTAAATATTTTACACGTGAGCCGTCCGACTGACTTCACGGCGATGTCCCTCTACAACGTAACCTTACTGGGACTTAATGACGGAACCTTCTACCCCCTTCACGTGTCCGCCATCGTCTGTATGTCCTGCAGTTTGCTCGCCTCCATTGTCGTAACTGCCCTATCGTTTAAGACTCACAAGAAAGGCTTCTACCTCTGGCCTAGGAGTGAGCGATTCGTGGTGTACCTAGCGTTATGTGAAGCTAGTTTTAACTTTATCCACATGTTTGACCACGTTACCATGATCACGGAGCGGGACCATGTCCACCCTCTTGAACTGTGCCAGTTTTATGCTTTTTTGATGGTGCTTTTGGTGACTACTAAGAACTTGGTTTTGGTCACTATTGCCATAAACGGGTTTCTGTTGATTCGGTTCCAGCGGCAGATGGAGTTCGGGACCAGGGATTGGAGGCTATTTGCGGTAACACTGGGGATCCCTTCTTTCTATTGCTCTGTGGCTCTGTCCCTCCAACAGCTTGGGCCGGCAGGTGCTTTGTAAGTTATATGATTTATCACAATTCATTTGTGACGTTTTTAGATATAATAGTAATTTAAATATGGTCAAGTATAATAAGCGTTTCATATCAAATAATGAATATAATTTTGTTAATATAAATGCTATTGTAATTGAAATTTAAGAATAACTGGGGAATGGTTGCAAATATATCATGGCGTCCAAGGCTTTAAAAGAAATACCAAGTGACTTTTTTTTTCACTTATACAATGCAAGCAATTACATTGCTCAATATCATTCACGTGACTTACATAACCCAGAATATTAAATAAAATTTTCATAAACCTAATAGATTTAGATAATTATATTTTTGTTCTTCTTAAGCCTGATCCTAAACTGTAACATTCGTCATTGCCCTTAATTCAAAGAAAATACTCTTTCTCACACGTGAAGTGCTGATATATTTTACAATTTTAATAAAGTTAAATGCTCGACTTCTAAACAAGATGTCCAATGCACCGAGTAATGGCTCCAATTATTGATTGGGCACGCTTTCGTCTTTTCCACCGGCGCTAATTATGTCAAACTAACGTTCATACTTCCGCTTATACCCCCGGAATCTCTTCCCACGTGATGATGCATCCGGTTGTGTTGCTTAGTAACAAACTGAAAGTGGCAGAAAAACACACGGCTAGTGATTCCTGAAATAAATACACAACTTCTAAAAATGAAAAATGAATTTCGATATTTAAATGTTAATTCGGAATTTGGAATTCTGATTTGTGTTATCGAAGTCATTTCTCCACACAAACGTTTGGCTAAAAATTAAGTGTGTTTTCTCTAGAAACAGATTTGGTTATAACTCAATTTTTCTAAAGCAAACTGAAATTAAGAACTTTTAAGATAAGGAGACTGAATTTGTCGCCTTCCATGGTAATTGTGAAGGGGAGTGTTTTAGTAAACGACGGGATAAATCCTATTTTTTATATAATACTAATTTTGCTAAAACAATATATTGTACCTCGTTCCGCCCCAATGTATTTAACTTAAAGATACTAGTCTCTTTTTTTACACATTCAAGAGCCTAACAATTTTGTTAGACTGCTCTTCTTCCGGTTACACTCGTATAAAAACATATAATACCTAAAACCAGAATTTGCCTAAAAAAGGTGTCCTACCCTTGCTTTTAGGTAGTGCATATAAATGTAGCCAACTGCCTGTGACAGCGCTTTAAGATTTCCAACACCTAGTAGAAATAAGGAGCTTCCGTTTATAATACAATTCCATTCAAAAGACCTTTGCATGCCTTTCACATATCAATTATCGAACTATACAGGGATGACTAGCTAAGTACAGGTACATATACTAGTCTAGAGCTGACCATAAAGTTGTACACCGGGTTTATGCACCCATTTAACTACACAACAACAATCTATACTTAAAACATTGCTGTGACGTCATGCCTTTGTTCTTGCAGTCTAAAAATTTACCTGTAGCCGTCCGATAATAATAATTACCAGTCTGATAATATATTATCAGACTGTAATGATAACAAAATCGGACAGCATTTTAAACAAGAAAACAAATTTTCAAGTGAAATGAAGTTTTACTAAACAAATCTCATTGTCAAAAACACAGTTTACAAAAATAATTAGAACATTCAAAATAAACGTATTCACATACATATTTGTAGGTTTCCATATACACAATTTTCGAACAAAGAAGAAAATCAGAATTTGATATCAATTTTAACACACTTCTCATTAGCCTCTACACTGACACTTCTACTTTTGGAATCTTTCTGAATATTTTGAACTGCTTCCAGTGTAACTTCCTCTGTGCATTTTTTTCTTGATTTTACAATACTGTCAACAACTTTAAGTTGTTCCTCGGATGTTCGTTTATATCCCCGAATAGCATTTGAGCGATGGCCTGTTTCTTCGCATATCAATTGTTCATCTACTCCAGCGGCATACAAACGCGTTGCAGCCGTTGCACGAAGAGAGTGATTAGTATAGAAACCATCAAATCCCGCAGACTTACACAGACGAGACACCGTTTCTTGTAATGGGTGAATTCCTACTGGAATATCATCAAACCACAACACGGGTGTTGGGTATTTCTTAGGTCGTAAATAAAAAGCATCACTCTTTCCATTTTTGGGTCGCAATGAAATATATTTTTCATATAACTGCACAACACATTTTGTAGGATTTTCTGGATCTTCATACACCCTGGTGACTTTGGGGTTAAGTTTCCTAGTATTGAGCCCTCCTGAATTACACTTAGAAACATCCTCTGTGTATTCCAAATATTTCTTCCCGTCCTTGTCATTCTTCAAAATTATTTGACTATTTGGTCCTAATCTTAAGTTTCTGTGCTCTTGTCCTGCACGCAATGCGAAATGAAGCCCAAACGAAAATACCATTGTGTCTAGAAGTTGAGCTGGAGTGTCCGATCCAAGGAAACCTTTTTCCCACAATAAATTTTCCTGTTCAGCAGTAATTATTTCAGCTTGGCGTTTAGAGCTTCCTAATCCTGACCTTGCGGTTTCCTTCATCTTGGCATCCAATACTTGACGTAGTTTCACAAATTCGTTGTCATCCAGAAAGCTGATGAAATAACTATTGTGTCTTAAGAAATGCTGGATGGCCATAAGTAATGGATATATGCCGAGTACTGTTCTTTATGTAAAATTATCAGACTGTTTGAGGCCCGTTAGGGCCGAAAACTGTCTGATAATTTTACATATAGAATAGTATGAGGCATATATCTTACTTAAGGAGGCTCATTACACCACTTTTTGATGACGTACTACACAAAAATATAAACCTCCATTATGTGGACCGGTTCGCTCAGGGGGCGAGTAGTATAGGTATCTCTAAAATACGACCCTGACCTTTAAAACTCTTTAAAAATAGATGAAACATGCGGTGTTGTAAACAGTGAAAAACAAAGTAACGGATTCATTATGCATAAACCAAGAAGAATTGCTTTTACGCAGAAACAAAAGAAAGCAACAGTCAAATCTTCGCCAAACAAGTAATGTCAATTTCATAGCAATGCATGCAGTGAACTATCAATCACCGACATGTATGTATGGAGGAAATTCGAGTTAAAATCTACAACCTTGTTGGAAGTAAAATTTTATTTAATTGCGCTATTCACTGTGTTGGTGTTAATTTATATATTTGTTTTATTGATTTAAATGTATACTCTGGCAATTTAAAGCTATATTCTGAATTTTAGATGTAAATATCAAACGTTCCATAGTGTTTTGAGTCTTGGGTAATTAGGAAAGATAACTCTTGAAAGTGGACTTTCTATACCAAATATTTTTTAAATTGGATTTTTCATTTCGTTTAAACTTTCTTCATTCAATTTGACACATGTAATTCATTGAAATACATTCATTGTCTCTTCAGAACACATTTTTTAAATGTTTTATGCATAGATTAAAGAGATAATGACATTAATTGTTTTCAATGAGAAAATTATTTTTTCTAATAAAATTATTATGAGGTATTATAAGGTATTTTCACTGTATGTACTTGTCTTAAGAAGATGCCCATCATTTGACACTGAAAGTTCTGAAATTCTGTGAATAATAAACCTGAAATAAAACATTTCACTAAAATAAAACAAAAACTAAAAAATTCTATAAAAAATATTTATGATATCAATACCCCAATCTGGATATTTGACATCTACATTATAAGTGGTGCTGTATTGAAATCTAAAATAAACTGTGGATGTAATGAGCCACCTTAAAACATTGCCATTTAAATGTCCAAAAGTTACCTGAAGGAGTCCGATAATAACACAATGGGAGTTTAGGCATCAATTGTTTTCTACCCGTCTGATAAGTAGATAAAAGAGACGAGACAGTAAAAAGTGAGTGAACTCTTGTTTCATTTCACCCATTCAATAGCAGTCGTTCAGGGTCAGTTTAGCAGGACAGGGGTCCGGTGGTGAAGGATTTTTTTTTTTGGGGGGGGGGGGGCATTTTTATTTATGATGTGCATAAATTGACATTGATACTGACATAATTTTTGGGTGATATTATAACTATCAGCATGGAAAGTATAAATGCGGATTTTTACCCTGAAGTTTCTGTTTAGATAATGGTAATATTCTCAGGTTTTAAAAGTGTGGCCATCGGGGAACAAACATAAAATAAGCAGATTTGCAGACTCGTTTTCAGAAATGGATTTAAATTCGCTTATTCAAAGTGCTGTATCAAAAATTCTTTTAAAGAGTGGAAATTATTAATGTTGTGGAATGTTTAAACTCGGATTTTTTTTCATGGATTTGTTATTTTGTAGCAACTTAAATTCCTTGCGTTTGCTTTCCCTGAATTTTTTCCTAACATTTTTATTGGGGGTTTCTGGACATATTAAATCACAATTTTACTCTTCTTTTTGTTTTTTAAACACCGTCCAATTTTGTTATCATTGCTATTATCAGACTGATAATTATTATTATCGGACGGCTACAGGTAAATTTTCAGACTGCAAGAACAAAGGCATGACGTCACAGCAATGTTTTAATGATTTCATATAGCGTGTTTGGACGGTACATCTCACCATTTTTGGTTCTGACTTCTGTGATGAAATGACATAGGTATTTATCTAAGGTGGGTTTATCCATTGTCTCGAAGTCTTCTTTGATGTTTCTTTCATTTTTCCAGGTCTTAAATAGGTTCACTGCCCAGAGAGTTTTGCGTTCAGTATTTTTTGGCATGGCACTTTTGATCAGCGAGTTCATGTCCAATTCTGACAGAGGGTCAGCGAACCTCTTCATCTCTTTGGGCTTGTTATCCTCTGGCTGATCTAGGGCTGGATCCTCAAGTTTCATAGTGACAGTATTATCCATTTCAAAATTTAAATCAAAACCTGGATTTTCCTTCTCCATGTTTAAAATCTCATCAATAACACTGTCTGTATCTATTTCAGACCCACCACTTTCTCTGAAAGTGTTCTGGGTTAAAAAAATTTCATCCCCACTTTCCATTGCTACTTCTACAGTGAACTAACTTTCTTGCAATGAATGATACACATGTAAAATATTACAGACAAAAGAAAACAAGTTCTCTTTCCTTTTGTCCACTTATTAGACAGCAGAAAATCATTCATGCCTGAGATGCTATTGTGTTATTATCGAACTACTCCAGGTAAATTTTGGACATTTAAATGGCAATGTTTTAAGTAAGATATATGCCTCATACTATTCTATATGTAAAATTATCAGACAGTTTTCGGCCCTAACGGGCCTCAAACAGTCTGATAATTTTACATATAGAACAGTATTCGGCATATATCCATTACATATCTACAAACTGTTTTATTTCAGGAACAGCTCCGCCCCCCCACCCCGGCCCCCTAATTGTCGATTATTTACAAGTTTTCTCTAAACAAATATCTTTTTATATTCAGCTGCCTAGTGATACCCGGAATATCAACTTTCCTGATGACAATCATTCCTTTCATCCTTATCTTACTGGTCAACACAACGCTCTACTCACTCACGTGGTTTCACATACGAAGAGATGCTCAACAAATCAGAAGTGTAATTGGTGCGCAGGCGCAGTCTGGAACTTCCTATATTCAGGCGGCCAAGACTATGACGATGTTTATAACAGTTTTTACAATTCAATGGTGGGCGGTGACAGTGTACGGTATATGGCAAATCATATCACACGACGTGCCCTCCATTGTATATATTTTTGTTGTTATTTTTACCAACATAGGAGGATGCCTGAATCTGATCGTGTTTATATCTATTCAGAAAAAGCGTAGACGGATTGTGGCGCTTGATACCAAGGTTCAAACGTCACGTCTACCTGTAAATGTGAACCCGTTTCAGGTGAACGCCAATTTCACGTCAGACAAAGTGAAAGCTCAGAATACAAACTCCACAGGAATTAACACATCCTCAGAAAAGATTGAACGCCATTCCATTGCAGATGCCACTGTTTGATACTGTCAACGATTCTGTTTTTTTACCATGTTATCCCAAAATTATATATTGTAAGTTGTTTTGAGTAAGACTAAAATGTCTTTTTTTTCTTTTGAATATGTATATTATGTAAGTTTTTCAATATTTTCTTAAAAAAAAAACAAAACAAAGAGGTTGAATACAAGATTTTACACTCCCGTTACACAGATTATATAATTTTTCATACAATATGATTAAATATCAAAAAGTTAAACATGGGTTATAAACCGGTACATAGACAGCTGCTTTTTGATAAAAATCGAACTCTTATATTTACGTATTTTGTCATTCAATGGCAAATTAAGAAATTATTTTGTTAAAGTTACATAATGAGTCGAAGCAATGCGTTTCTTTTAAGATAAATTTATAACAAACAAAAGATTTGTGTTTATTGGAATATAGTACTCTGACGTTGATATTAAAAAGATGTTTGATTTTTTTTATTGAGAATATCTATGAGGTATTTGAAGATCAGGTCTTCCAGCAATCTTTTAGAATTTATGGGTACCAATTGCGCCCCATCATTAGCAGACCTATATAAATGAAGCAGAATTTATTCAATCTTTTACAAGAGCAAAAAGAAATCAACTGCTTTTGACATTTAGATACCGTATATGAATCAGAATTATTGGGAGGATTCAATTTTAGCACTATTAGCAAGGGTTCTCAGATTGCTAAAATTGAATATCGCTAGCAATTAATATCGTATTGGTTGATATAGGTACTTTTTCTTTTCTCTAAATAAAAATCTTTATTGTAATAGACATTTATTTCATGCACTGGGCGAAATCTGCGAGAGAATCAAGCTTCAGTGTGCATACAAGCAGTAATGAATATGTAGCACAGTTATATTCAAAAGTAACAAAAGTGAAAGAAAAAAAGGTGCATGTTTGAAGCTATCGTAGTTTGGAATTAAAACCGCGATACATCTTTTAATCATTCATATTACTAATAAATAAGAAATATGCACAGAGGAATATGTTTCTTGTATACATTATTTATATTTAAACTTGATTAATTTAATAAATTAAATAAAATAAAAGGAAAATTAAAATATTTTGAATAAATTTTGACGTTAAATCTTGCTTACTATCGAGGTAGCTGCAGACCTGTAGCGTCATGGTTTTATATATTTGTCTTTAACCATAACGCTATTTATGCCTCCTCTTTCCCTACCTACACCTCAAAATTAGACAAAAACTCCCATGTGTGTTGAAAAAGTTTAGACGTCGCGCACAGAATTGGGGCTGATTTTGTAACGTCAAAATATACTTTTCTGACGTTATTAGTTACGTCATTTATGCGTAAAAACGTCAAAATTCAAGGCGTAACAAATCAGACTAGACATTTAGTTTTTGCTCCTGTTTTCTTATAAATGTCTTACTTTTTCAAGTTTCTTTCGATACAAAATTTTATTTATTTGCACATTTCAAAAATAATATTTGATCTGTTAAACGTTATCCCACTAAATAAAGAATACAGCTCAAATTGGTGTTATACGCTTGGTTAAATACCATATACGCATATTTATGACGTAGTAACAAAACCGACTAGACATCAAAATCGCTCTATGAATCTTCCCTACTGCTTGAATATAATTTTTCTAAGTAACATTTGACTACTTTTAGACTTGCACATTCCATTTGTCGACTTAGATTTACAAAAAGAACCTGCTATTTAGTGAAAAAATCTTTATAAAATATTCTATATTCTCTTGTTACTTTCCAGTATTACGACATGTTACGGAACGCTTCCTATTTTACGAACAGCCGGAACAGTCCGTAAAATAGAAATTTATTAATGAATATTGTGTGACATCATCACAGGAAATTAAAGAGGCTTGGTGCAAAATACCAGAAAAATCCATGAAGCCAAAACGATGAAATGACCGAAATACCAACGCCCGTCGTTTACAGTGTTACAAGTTACGCATTTTCAAACCCCAATACTATGCGCGACGTCTTATTGATCGCTATTTATGTTAAAACCTTATTGGAAGACCAAGGCAACATAGTTGCTCAGTTTGTTTCCAAAAATCAAAACAGGAGAGATGTTAAATGTAAAAAATTTGTCATTTATTTAAATGACGAAAAAATGAAATCCATAAAACAATTATGAAAGAATTTGGCTGGGAGACATACATGTACCAGAATCATGGAAAGTTTGAATAGAAATGCAGTTCAATAAGAAGAAGGATATGGAAATAACGAACAGTATTAAATCTCAAAGTCCATTAAACAAATATACAAAATAAGAGCAGAGCAAACACGGACCTCCGAAACATCAGAGGTGGGATCAGGTGCCATGGAGGAGTGAGCATCCCCTGCCGACCGGTCACACCCGCCGTGTGCTCGTTGTCATAACCAGGAAATAACGGAAAAAATCCGTGGTCATTTCAGTGTATAAATAATGGACTAACAATTGGTATGAAAAACGTCAGTCAGCATTTCATTCAATGATAAAGTGTATTTGCTGACAAAGTCATTGTATCGACCGTAGAATTTACGAAATGATGACTTTAAACGAGACTGTTGATATTCTTGTTTCATCAACTTGCTTGTCGATAATTTACCTCGTTTAAGAAATTGTTCATACGTAGAGCATGCTCTTGCGTGTCGAATCAACTGAGATATAAATACTCCGTATGCAGGTGATGAAGGTATATTGCTGCATAAGTAAGGGAAGTTGACGATAGAAAAGTTAAAGTCATCACGTTTATCATATAGCTTGGTAGTTAGATTACCATTAGTGTCTTTTTCAAGTAAAATGTCCAAGTATGAAGCAGAAGTGTCGGACTCTGTGGTATCTTTTATCTCAAGCTCACCAGGATATATCGTGTCGACGAAGGAATGGAAATTATCATTATTAATTGACAATACGTCGTCAATATATCTAAATGTCGAGTTGAAGGCCACAGCAAGTGTTTTCTTCTTTTCACGCAAAAAATTTTGCATAAATTCTGCTTCATATGAATATAAAAATAAGTCTGCTAATAACAGAGAGCAATTTGTACCCATGGGAATTCCAATAGATTGTTGGAATACCTGCACGGTCTCCAAAAACCACATAGATATTGTCAATCAGAAACTCAAGCATCTTCTTGATGTCAACTTCAGAGTACTTATGTGTGCAATCAGAATCTGTTCTAACAAAATAATTTTTCAAATTACCAATGACGAGGTAAGTAAACTTACGAGTTCCATTTTTGTTGAAGAAGCAGCTGTCAATGATATCAAAAAGCCTGGATTTTAATTTGTCGTGAGGAATTGATGAATAAATGATTAAAAACAGTGGTCACCTAGCCACCATATTGTTACAACACAGAGATGTAATAAAGTGGTAAAACTTAACATCAAAATTTATTGGAAACAAAAGTGGTGCATAAAAAGCGCCATCAACCTTCTTGCTTACTGTTGAGGTAGCTGCAGATCTGTAGCGTTATGGTTTTATATATTTGTCTTTGACCATAACGCTAAAGATCTCGTAACGCAATAAAGGTGCAATTTACGGCGCAGTATTTTTTGCACACTTTTGGGGGAGAATTTCTCCATTTTCCAGCATCCGTCGATAAACTACTATAAATCACTTTTTATTCGCGAGAACTTTATTTTCGCGTAATTACGCGAGACAGTGTGCTCGTAAATATTTAATTCTCGCGGATAATAGTATTACTTAAGATTATATAGAGCATTAACCACAATTCGTGAAAATTGTGTCTCGCTAATCAAGAGTCTGACTGATGGTGTATTATTAAGCGTTGCAGTTGCAACCCTTAATGATATAAAATTTAGAAATCGCTTGTTATATCTAAGAGAAACACACATCCACCTTTCCTGACCAATGAGCAATCACATGTCAAAATATTTTTATATTCCGTTGTGCTATATAAATAGTAATTATTGAAGTTTTACTGTGTTTTCTATCTAGTCAAGGGAACGTCGTTAAGCCCCGGATGTTTAAAAGACAGACAGTCAGATAGCTAGAAGAAAGAGATACAAACAAAGGTTAAATAAAATGATATTCAAATCCTTCTAAAAGAACCATTTTTTTACTGAAAATACAGAAGCAAACAAGCAATTAAATTCCTTTTAATTTGATACAATGATTTTAATACTCAACCTAAAATATATAGAATATATTTAGATATTCCACACTTTGTATTTTAGATTTGATACAGCTTAACACATGTCACTGTTAACGTTTCAGATATACGTATCGAGAAATAAATTTATAATTTTCACTATAATTGTATTTTTAATCTGATTCGTTTCTCCAAATTTCGATAAAGAGAGACATCAATATTGACAATTTATGTTAAAGTATATTAAACACAAAGAATACAAATGAATGCAATACATTGAATAATATAATAATTTGAGAAAAGGATCATTCATCCTTTATTTGTTTTACAGTTACAGTTTTACTTGAATACATTACTGTGGCATGATTATTTTAGAATCAATTTTGAAAACTGGTACATGTATATAATTATCAAATTATGAAAAACATGTCGAATGAAGTTGATGAAGCTGATGTTTTTAAAATTCTAAATGACGCATACCTCATTTTGTAGTATATTTGCCTGTCTGTCTGTCCGTCTGTCTGTAAACAATTTTTTTTTCAAATTGCTACTCCTCCTGCAGTTTTGGTCTGATTTCAATATAACTTGACACACAAATAGACTACACTAAGTTACTTAATTTTTGCATCGGTTTTTGATTTCGATGAACGGTGTTACCATGGTGACTAAAAATAGAATTTTCTGTAAAATTCCTTTAAAATGCTACTCCTTCTTCAGTTTTGGTCTGATTTCAATATAACTTGGCACACAAGTAGACTACACTAAGATACATAGAATAGTGCATCGGTTTTTTAAAGTACTAACCAGTAGAGCTACAGTCTCGACAGAGACTTCTGGTTTTCTTTCGATATATAAGACTAAGTTTACATCTGACTAATACTAAAATGAAATGGATTTAAATGAATAGTTCTTTTTCGGTACAAGAGAGACCCTCTCTATAAATGCAT